TTTATTAAAGAAATGTGCTACTGAGTAAATAGCTCAATCTTTGTGCGAAATCGAGTTAATGCATACTCAACTTGCTTGTTTGTAGGTGTACTCTAACGATGAGGAGATGGCAAAGGCCCTACAGCGTGAATTTGACCGCGAGTACGATCTATCCGTGAGATTGAACCAGGAAAAGCAGAAGGGAAAGAAGAGTATTGGTATTTCCACTTTTTTATTTTTCATGACCCCTTATGTGAGGATATTTACCTCGGTCACTGGATTACATACATGTTTCAGCTACAGTGACGGTGACACCAGACCGTTACTGTCCAAAAACCACGCAAGACTCTGATCAGTCTAGCGACGATGAGGATTTGAGACAATTTGCGACGGAAATGCTCTATACTAAGGTTGCTTAAATTTCAACTTATCTGTTTTACTAAGTCTTCTGCCATGTTCTGAAATATTTACACGTTCAGCTTTTGTTAAGTTGTCGGGTGATGCTCCGGTTCATAGCGGAAACGTTTACCGTAACGCTGAAGGAGAGTTAATTACTAAACATAATGCAAGTTTGTCGGCGAAACGTAACGCGGACAAAGCTATGAATGTGAGTATAAAGTATCAGTATAAGTTTCTTAAAAGACTATAATTTTTCCTTATATACTTCTTGTTTTCTGTTGATTGTTGAGGCGTTGTTATTTTTTAAAAAGATCTTTCATGACGGTTAATCAGTAGCATTGTCTATCAAGGATCACTCATAAGCTGCACTGGGGTGAAACAGGTAGTTCAGGCCAACTACAAACATAGTTCAGGCCTATTTCTTAGTTGTGTAACATGTTTTTAGTTAAGGTCACGTTTAAGCAACCACCTTTTAGGACAAAGTCAATCTGGCTTTTGGTGATATGTGTAATGAAAAGATCAACAGCCGAGTCTACAACTCTCTCAGGAATTTCTCGAAGACTGAAACAAAGAGACAGCACAAACTAAAAGACAAGGTTTGTAGCATTGTGATGTTTCTACAAAAACACAATTTTTGCTTTGATTTTTATTATTCATGCTTTTGCTGTGGGGATGAACTACCATAACTGGTAGAGCTTTTGATTCCTTTGAATGTTTTTGTTAGGTTTTTCTTCACATTTCCCTTTCCTGGAACAGAGTTTAGATGCTACCTGAGCAATTGTTTGGCCGCCCAGGCCATGAGTTAAGTAGAGCGATTGGTCTGTCCGCCTGCAGTTTTTGAATTTGCGCTATTTCTGTGCATCTTCGTACCTCCTGCAATTTCGTCGCATCTTCAATCTTATTTTTTTGTCATTTGATCACATCTCACAGAAAAGCA